TACCTCTGTTGGAGTTTCGCTATATTCAATAACACGTTCTACAGCAACGATATTAGTTTCCAATTCCGAATTCATACGAACCAACCAGCTAAGAGTCGACGTCACCTGGAAGCATTTTATGTAATTAGTAACAAAAATGACGTGCTATGTCAATGCATGCGCGCACACACTTCGGTTATATTACTTACGGGAAGAACATAGCTGATAATAAGACCTACAGAACCTGCAGTTAACGTATCTTTAGCCAATACGGCGAACAGACCCGCAAATAGCACAACACAGTTTCCACAAAATTCCAGATTGATAGCCAACCATCTGTAATAAAAAACCAAGTGATATTCTCAATTTAGCATTTTAACATTTTGAAAGTATTTACAAAATATTTTATCAATTAATCATTTTATAATTGTTGTGCTAAAGATCCTGAAATTATCTCTGAAATAATTTAAATTTATTATTAACAAAAAGGTAATAAAGGAATGATGGAAATGTTTTCATTTGGAAATATTGCGTAAATCAATGCAAATATTTAATATATTAGGCCTACACTTAAGAAGTCATTTTGTTCTACATTTTTATATCAAAACATTTCCTTCTAAGGTTATATTACACTACTTTCTTCTTTAAACATTGCACTAATAATGCAGATTATACTTGTAATTTTGTGTAAGGTTTCCAAAATTTAAATGTAGATATGCTAAATTTTTATTTTTATTTCTGAAATGTCAAAATCCAGAAACTATCCTGCAAAACGCTTATTTTAATTCATATTAAAGGACAAGAATGTTTCTGTAGCATTCTCTTACATGATATTGTTAAAAAGTTAGCTTATTGGCAATTTGTAAACTACATATTATACCTTTAAAAACTTGCATTATATTAAATACTTGATCTAATATATTCAAACAAATTTTACAAAACAGATAAAGTAAAAATAAGATTGTAGCTATATAATTTTTTTTTTTTCTAATTTCATCGTTTCAATGATGATAAACTAATTACTGACTTAAAATTTTCTCCAAAAACTGGGAGACAAAAGGCAAAAGGACATAACTATTTTCGTTCGATGTATTGTTTCCACAGTCACGTTAGAAACATCTCAACTGTGTTCGTACAATTAAATAACCAAATAATCATTAAAATTTTCCAAACAAATATTATGGCATATCATATCATTCTATTGTTACTAATTGTTTATCTAACATGAGAAGATAAATAAGTAACCTATTCCCAAAAGTTTATGTATTAAATAAGTTACCTATTTATACCTATATCTAGACATTTCTCAAAGGTGATACAGATCTTGAAAATAAGCTTTGATTCCCATCCTTCAATATTGAAATTCTTGATTTAATAAAATTGTCATCGGTTATCTACTAGAAAGTGGTAGTTGTTAATTTTTATTTTATTAGATTTCTCTGCCCAAATCTAAATACAGCAAGAATCATTTTTAAATACATGTTTTTTCATAACAAATATTAACAATACTCGCATTATGGACGAGAGCTGACTTACAGACTTTGTTCAAATCATATTGAAAAATCCTAATATTTTATAATACGATCGAGATAAACTTTCCGCTGCATTTCCAGATCTTAATCTTATAAATGTTTACAGAATAGTAATTATTCACATCGACAAATAAGACCTCTACACCATTACCTGTTAGCTATAGTACTTGGATAGTAGCAACATTGATTAATATCGACATTTTTGTAGCACTTGCTTATAAAATAGTCTTCCGCTCTAAAAGCTCTTATAGTGCTGACTCCCGTTAACGTTTCGGAAAAGTGAGAATAAATAGGCGAACGAGTGATCGATTCTAGTCGCTTCAATTGTCTCGAGGTCGGTATGTAGAACCTCTAGTGTTAAAAATATAATTACAGTTATTATCATATTAAACCCAATTAAAAACAGTTAAATGTATACTGACAATTACCTGAACCAAGTAATAAAATATCGATAATGGCACGATCACGGCAAGAAATACGGGAATTTCGTAAGAAATAATAAATATTGTACCTAAAACATTTGTGAAACACGATATCCAAGATCTTAGCGTCATCGGTATGGTTGTATCGATCGTATCGATATCTTTTGCAAATCTGTTAATAATTCTTCCCAAAGGCGTTGTGTCAAAAAATGCCATGGGAGAACGAAGAATGTTGAAAAGAATATTCTGATGTAAACGAAACGACGATTTTACGCTGCCGTAAGCTAGACCGAAATAACCTATCAACGACATTATACCTATTGAAAAAACAATCATTATTATCATCATCAAATATTTATTGTAATAATTCGTTTAAAAGAAAACGAAATACATACTTTGTCCAAAACCGAGAACCGCATAAATTCCGAGTCTGAAATTTCTCTGTGCCAAATCCTGAGATCCGTCGTCGTTAGGTTTGTCATTGCTCCAAACACTTAACCACATATTAGATCCCACAGAAAACATTTGAGAACTGAGTGTGCCAACAACGGTAATAACTATTAAAACGATTCCCATAGGTTTAAAATATCTTTCGTATACCGAAAATTTTACCTGTTCAATGCAAATTAATAATTTTTAAAATATTTAAATACCTATAAATCTCAAAATAAATTTAAAATACTAAATACATAAAAAACTAAAGGTGCATTAACTGTTGATTTCGTTTTTATATTCTAAGTTCTGCAAAAGTGTAAGCTCAACAAATTGTTATTATTAATATATGATTTACGTTTTATTACAATTAGCTTCTTGCCCACTTATTTTTCGGTTCTGTACAATTATAAGTCCTTAAAAACAATTCAGCATAATCATCTAGGACCGAATAAAAGATTTAGTATTTTATTATATCAATAAAATTTACTACATAAATGATTTGCATTCGTAAAATTTCGTTATTATAAACAGTTTATAACTATGCATACACTTTCATTATAAACACGTAACCATAAACAGTTTATAACTATGCATACACTTTCATTATAAACACGTAACCTTTACAAAAACATTTCTTCACAAAAAAAAAAAAAAAAAAAAAAAGTCATTTTTCCATTTTTGCAGAATAAAAGAATTATTCTGTAGTAAAAGTATAGAAAATTTGAGAAAATACGCCGATATTATACACAATGCATTTATCTAAACCGGACATTTAGCTGCATTCAAATGAAATTTTTCTTCAAAAAAGAAAGTGAAAAATTTGCTCATGTAAAAAGCTTGAAATTAGCGAAGGATAAAATATGGAGATGGGGAGTTCAGAATCGAATCCTTATGAAATGAAAAACTCAGGAATTTTTCGTAAGTGGTCTGGACGACCACTTACGAAAAATTTATATTCAATTTATATTCAATTTTTAAGACCTTTATAAATTGAATTGTTATATAATTGTCTTAAACTCAATAAAATAAGTTAAATTTTATTAAAATTAGCGTATTAAAAATTTTACCATTTAAAAATAAAGCTTCAGTTTATACGTGTTTATAACACAAAAATGGAAAACACTGTGAGGTATCCTGTTAGCGAGTTTCCGTTACGATTTTTTGCAAGCTAGATCTCAAAATTAAGAGAATTTTGACAAACGCTTATAGAAGACTAAGCTTATTTTTGATCCTAAATAATAACTATACCTAAAATATTGGCATAGAGTTCCGTTACGCCTTGTATAAAATTGGATAATTTTTACAGAATTTGTGCCTAGTTTATCATCTGTATCTCCAATATTCTCCATTTTACAGTTGTACAAGATGAAACTATTGAGAACCTGCATCAAATACACAATATGTGATACCATCTGGCAAGTTTATTGATTTTCGGTGAATGGATCAGATTGGACTGGATGAACGGTATAAGGCAATGCATCACGTGAGCGACCTGCGTAGGGAGAACGCCACTCAAAAGCACTTTATCGAAATCTGATCCCTACGTAGCTGTTAGTCACGCAAAGAAAACCCTGAAAACTCCATGTGGCCAGCCCATTCATTGGCCAGGTGCCAACCCACGACCGACTACCAGTGTTCTATGGTTTAATTCATTCGGCCACTGGTAGTTTAAGTAAATAAAATTATTTAACAAAAAAAGTCATTAAAAATAAAAAAAATTCTCGGTCTTTTGCATTACCTGTAAAAATAACATTTACTGGCAACAAGTCGCGTAACTATTCGCGTAATATGAATCACAATATTTTTAAAATAAAATCTTAAGTTAAATAAACTTGTGTGACACCATCCACTATAAGATTTTGTTATAAAACATTTTTTATGTTTTAATTATTATAGTGTAGCAAAAAGCGTAATTTTGAGTGTAGGAATAAGTTATATAAAAAATTGGGAATGTTAATAACAAGTAAAACCTTCATATATTAAGTCTGATCCTTCTCGAAATATGGCATGCGATTCCCTCTATCTCCCCATCCCATCTACCTTTAACCATCTAAAGTTAATAACGTCAATGCACCTTACATAGAAGTTATCGTGACAAATTTCGTTCCTTAACCTTTATCCCATCCTGAAATATTAAACGAAATAGGCGGCAACACACACAAAGAGAGAGAATTTTTTTGCTGTATTTTTGACTTTCGAGTTCAGGAAGTCTCAAAACGTTGATATTTGCCCAAAACTCAAAGGGTGAAATTTGAAATTTTTAAATACATGTTTTTTCATAACAAATATTAACAATACTCTCGTTATGGACGAGAGCTGACTTACAGACTTTGTTCAAATCATATTGAAAAATCCTAATATTTTATAATNAGACAGAAAGAGAGAGAATTTTTTTGCTGTATTTTTGACTTTCGAGTTCAGGAAGTCTCAAAACGTTGATATTTGCCCAAAACTCAAAGGGTGAAATTTGAAACCATTTCAATATTTTTTCTTGTTATGTATATACAACAGCCAGGAAATTAAAATCAAACACGTTATCGGAAAAACAATTTTTTCCCTGAAAATAATATTATTCTAGGCCAGTGTTTCCCAACCTTTTTGGATTAGACACACACTTTGAATTTAAAGAAATTCTTGCGACATACCATACTTTCTAAAGTAAAAATGTTTAAAATTTAAAATAAATTACGTTCGATAAAAAAATTGATAACACAGAAGTTAAACTTACGGAGACAAAACTTCACAATTTTACAAATTAAAAAACTATATCAATACGTAAAAGTTGTATCAGTGTTTACAGTGGTAAGCCGCGACGTCGATAAAAGCTCCAAAGAGTTGGTACGCCGCCATACACATAAACGTTTGCAACTTTTGTTAGGGGTTAGCTGATGTCGCAAATTTTGCAACAATTGACATTTTAGTGAATGACTCCTATCTACCACCGGCATCCCTTCGATGGACAGACGATAGAAAGAGGAAAGATAAATCATATTTAAACACGAGCTTATTCAAAATTCTAAAAATATTTAATACGTATTTCTGCGACACACTTGAGGTGACACACAAGTGTATCGTGGTGCACACGGATTGGGAAACACCGTTCTATGCTCTTGCATATAGCTTAAGAAATCAGGACAATAGTTCTTATTAATTAGTAGAAATCTGTTACAAAGATTAAAAGCAAAAATTTATTTAAATATTACCTTTCCTGTTTCTGCAAATTCTACTGTTATGAGTTTTTTTTCCTCTTTAATTTTGTCTTTTATGCTTTGCACTACTTCAGCATCATTAATACTTTGAGAAAAATGTTTTTTATCTTTAATATCCAA